CTATTAATTTTTGTTGTATAAGACCGGGGCTTTATAAATTGTAAGGCTGCCAGGCTGGGTTGGAATTTGCGGCTGTCTTGCCTCAGCCTCCCAGAACCGCCGCTGAGCTTGTGGGCCCTGAGCCCCCGCCGGCGAGACGCGGCCTGCAGGGGGCGCTCGCGGCGGGCTGCAGTGCTCGCGGCGGCCAGCAGGGGGCGCGTTCCGTCCTGCCCACGCAGACGGACTGCGTGGACCGCGTGTGGGCCCACGACGTAGGTGCTGCGCGCGGCGGCCGGTGCCAGGCTAGATGCCCGCTTCTTTTCCTGTGTGTTAAGTACTTAATGTTTAATTTCATACTTCCTTTTGGAGCAGGCTCTTGCTGTGCAGTTCAGGTCGGCCTGGACTAAGCCGGTGGCCGCCCAGGTGACCCTCCTGCCTCAGCTTCCCGCGTGAGGGCTCGTGGGCTCCTTTGCCCGCACAGAGGCAGCGCTCCCTTCGGGCCTGCGCCCCGCAGCCCTTCCGCTCTCAGTGTCCCCGCCCGCGGAAGCCCTGGAGGGACCCTGTGGCCCTTAAAAACACCGGGCCGGCAGGGCGCAGCCGCCTGGGGGCCTGCAGCTGCCCCCGCCCCTCCTCCTCCCCTCTGCTGGGTCTGAGGAGAGAGAAGCCCGTCGGGCGCCCGCCGGCTGGCAGAGGGGCCGCGGCGGAGCGGCAGAGACCCGGCGCCGGGCTGTGCGCAGGGCTGGAGGCAGGGGCGCTGCGCACAGCACCGCGTTCGGGCTCGCGGATGCGCCCTCGCCCTCGCCCGCCGCGCTCAGCAGCCGGTGCCCTGACAGTGGGCCGGAGGGACAGACGGGGAGGACGGCGGCGGGGGGAGGGGCGGGGAGAGGCAGATGGGGGACAGATGGAGGACAGACGGGGGACGAGACTGATGGGGAACAGATGGAGGACAGACGGGAGGACAGACGCGAGACGGGTGGGGGGACGGACGGGAGTCGTAAGGGGGGACAATGGGGAAGACAGACGGAGGGACGGGGTAGAGGGGGGACGGATGGGAGGATGGACGGGGGAACGGACGAGGACGTCCCCAGGCTCCGCGGTGGCTGTGCACCTTCTGCCCGAGCCCGCCGTCCCCCGGGCACCGCCCCGCCCCTCCGCGCCGGGTGGCCCAAACGGGAAACGGCGCCCCCTACTGTCCTCTTAGGCGCTGCGGAGGCGGGGCGGGCGGGGTCGGGTTTCCCTGCCTGGCTCCCTCCCTCCCTCCCTCCCTCCGAGCAGCTGGGCGGAGCTGCGGGCATGAGCGGAGGCCTCCGTGTGCTCTGTGCGGACGGCAGCCGCGGAGCGCAGCGGCGCCCGGTGACCCGCCGCGTGGGCCTCGTCCTCCGGGTGTGGACTCGCCTCCTGCCCTGCGGCCCTGCGCGGCGGCCCGCTCTCCACCCGCCGGGCGTCCCGACGCAGCTCTTCCCGGAGGCGCCGGTGCGCGCAGGCTGGGGAGGCCGGGCCTGGAGTCGCTCACTCTGGAGGCCGAGGCAGGCAGGTTGTAGGTTTCAGCGCAGCCCAGGCGGTCCACAGGAAGGCAGGGAAGGCTGAGAAAGCCTGCCAGCCAGCGGGGACACGTGGGCCACAGGTACCCTCGCGCTCACTGACCACGGGGACATGAGCTGGAAACTGGCGATTACTGAGTTGTGGCAGTGAGAATGTACCGATGGTCACACAAACCAAGACAGCGGTGGCGTCCCAGCCCGTTCCTCCGGGCCACCCGGAGACGTGGAGGCTGTGTTGTGCCCGCTCCCGTTCGCGCGGGAAGGTGTCCTGCCCTCGCTCCCGTCCCGCAGTTGGAGAAGTCGCCCAGGCCCCCACCCCCGGGGCGCGGGGTGGGACGGCGGACATGCCCGGGGCAGCTGGGTCTGGCCGCTGAGTCTTGCGTACCCTGCGGGGCTGCGGGACAATTCCTTCCGCCTTTCCCTGCAGCCTCAGGGCCGGCCGGGCTAGATTGCTTCTGGGACCTCAGAACCAACCGACACGGAGGAGAGCAGAGCTCACCTAGGACCAGAGCCAGGTCACCACCCCTTCTCCGCCCGAGGCAGATTATTCCAGAGCCCCGCGTGGGCCATGGGCGGCCACTGCCCAACTCATCCACGCAGAGAGAAGTCTTGGATAGCAACGTGCTTAGCACAGGACAGGTGGGAAACACTGACTAAGCACGCGCCAAGGTTCTGAGTGAGCGTGCACTATGACCCCCCAACACACACCCCTCAGCCTTTAGCCCCCTCCCTTCCCGAGCTCTGTGTTCACACTCAGTAAATAAACGCCAGGCGGGCATGTGGGCATGCATTTGTAATGAATGAATGGAACTCAAAGTCAGGAAGGAAGAAGGTGGAGATGGGCAGAGGAAAGCCACGGCCTCCTCCGGGGCTGAGGTCACATTCCCTGCAACCCCCACCCTTCAGGTGAAGAGACAGTTCAGAGCCAGATTCTTCTCAGGCCTGGAGCTTCAAAAGGATTGCTTTAACGGCCCTGACGTCTTGTGATCCAAGCTGATCTCATCAGAAACTCTTACTAAGGTTTGGAAAAAGATACCTTCTTTCTGCCTGTGTTTCAGATATCTGTTACCAATTAGCATAGGCCTGGAATCTCAGCATCCTGGGAGGCTGAGACAGGAGAATCCCCATGTCAGAAGTCAGCCTGGGAGCCAGGGATGTACAGGCCACTGCCTGGCACTAAGTGCAAGGTCTTGAGTTCTGTTCCCAGCACAGAAAATAAAAATAAGTAAAAATAAATTAGAACTTTGTGGAAAAAAAAAAGCCAACCTTGGGATACATCCTGAGTTCAAATTCAGTCTGGCCTACACAGCTGGAACATGATACCTCAAAGGCAAATCGGACAAGAGGAAAATCAAATGTCTTACCAGTGCAGGGTGAGATTCCTAATGGCTAGTACCACTTTCCTTTGCATGCTGTTCTGTGGGAAGGAGTCGGGGAAGGGATCTTCTGCGAAGCTTCTAGGCAGCCTGTGGGCTGTCAGAGCTGAGCCTGCACTGCGTCCTTCTTCAGGTGCCTGGGGTTGCAGCACTCACAGGTGTCTCCACCTGGCTCCAAAGCCCTCAAGCTTCCATGCGTGCTTGGCACAGACAGCAGCGCTTCCTTGGAGCGGAAGGTTGGTAGGTAATAGTAGGCTAGTTAAGGCTATACCTGCACAGCCATGATAGTATAGCATGAATTCATTTGTTTGTTTAAGACAGCGTCTTCCTACGCAGGCTGTACTGGTCTCCAACTCATGGAGATGCTCATGTCTCAGCCTCCCAGAGTGCAGGGACTATAAGCATGTACCACCCAGCCTGGCTTAAAAAATGTTGTTTGAAAAGATTATGTGCGGGTGATATTTCTGCTTTCTGCCCTGAAATCTCACAATGTAGGTTCCTTGGAAAAGAACGTGAGGAGCAGTTTCGGTGACTTCATCCCAGTGTCTCTGAGCACCCCGACACACAGTGTGGAAGCATCTGTAGCTCCTTTGCTGGCATGGCAGACAGTGTGATGAGAAGCCAGGAAGTCTTCCCCACAGAGGACGAGGAGGAGGTGACCCCCACCCCAGCTCAGCTTCCAAAGGTGAGAAAGACCCCACAGGACGTTCAGTATTGCAGCCATGGTGCCCACGACAAGACACTGCTGAGCCAGGCCCGCAGGAACCTGTGGCGAGCCCGAGAGATGCCATGGAAGACAGAGGCCTCCTGGCAGATGTGGGCTGCTGACAGAGAGGAGGAGGAAGGTGAGGAGGAGGGCCTGCTGAGGAAGAAGAAACGGAGGAGGCAGAAGAGCAAAAAATATCCAGCTGGGGAGTTCCTGATGGAACAAGAGAAGCAGCGGCGGAAAGGGAGAGCAGATTTAAACACCCGGAAGCAGAAGGCTTCCTCCCAGAGTGTGGAGCACCACCTCTGGAGCAGGAAGCTACTCTTGCCCGGCAAAGCCCAGGGGATTTTGGATTCACCAAATGGCTTCCACCCCAATAATCTGGAGGAGCCAGCCTGCTTTGAAAATCCTGAAAAGCCATCAGGAAAACGAAAGTGCAAGACCAAGCACATGACAGAACCGTGTACACCCTGTAAGTCCCAAAGTGCCGGCCCAGAAGAGGCTTCGGAGTCACCTACAGCCCGGCAGATGCCCCCAGGTGCTCTGCGGCTCATAGTGAACAAAAATGCCGGTGAGACCCTCTTGCAGCGGGCCGCATGCCTGGGCTGTAAGGACATCGTTCTGTACTGCCTCCAGAAGGCTCGCGAGGATGTGAATCACCGCGATAACGCTGGCTACACAGCCCTGCATGAGGCCTGCTCTCAGGGCTGGACTGACATCCTGCACATCCTCCTGGAGCATGGGGCCAACGTGAACTGCAGTGCGGAGGATGGAACAAGGCCAGTTCATGATGCAGTGGTCAGTGGTAACCTGGAGACCATTTGGCTCTTGCTGTCCTATGGGGCCGATCCCACCTTGGCCACCTACTCGGGGCAGACAGCCGTGAAGCTGGCCAGCAGCGACACCATGAAGCGCTTTCTCAGTGATCACCTCGCAGATCTTGAGGGCCGAGCAGAGGGTGATCCAGGTGTATGCTGGGACTTCTACAGCAGTTCTGTGTTGGAGCAAAAGGAGGGCTTTGCCTGTGACCTCCTGCACAATCCTCCTGGGAGTGCTGATCAAGGAGATGATGTGGAAGAGGATGATTTCATGTTTGAACTCTCAAACAAGCCTCTTCTCCCTTGCTACAACCTCCAGGTGTCTGTGTCCCGCGGGCCCTGCAACTGGGTCCTCTTCAATGATGTCCTCAAACGGCTGAAGCTCTCTTCTAGGATCTTTCAGGCCTGGTTTCCACACCTAGAAATCACCACCCTGCCCACGGCTGAGTTCTGCCAGCAGGTGGCCTCCAGTCAGCTGCTGACCCCTGCTGAGAGGCCTGGTGGCCTGGAGGACAGGCCTTCCCCAGGCTCCTCTGAGACTGTGGAGCTGGTTGCTTACGAGCCTGAGCTCCTTCGGCTCCTAGGGTCTGAGGTGGAATTCCAGTCATGGAACAGCTGACCAGGACGACAGCCCCTCCCTGTGTTTTCTCCTTCCGAGTTCACCCTCTCTCACCTCCCATGTCGCACCAGACTATAGTTGTCTTGTTTCGGATCTTTTATGATTTTTTTTTTTTTTTTGGTTGAATTGTGTTTCAGGAAAGGTTTATTTTTTGTTTTTGGTGCCGAGGACTGAACCCAGGGCTTCCAGCTTGCTAGGCAAGCGTTCTACAGCTGAGCCAAGTCCTCAGCCCCCCCAGACTGCAGACCGGGGCAGTAATATGGGCCAACAAGAAGCCACCTTCTCAATGCCCAAAACAAATAAATAAATAATGTGCAAGCCCAGCCTGGGCAGCTTATTGAGCTCCTGTCTCAAGAATAAAGGAGGGTCTGAGGCTGGATCTCCATTCAGAGGCCAGCTGAGATGGGGTGCAGGGCAGCACCCTGGCAAGCACTTGGTCTGGAGGAGGCAGGCTTAAAGCTGGCAAGTGGAGGGGAAGCGTGCTCACCACCCCGTGTTGTTATAGTGTCGCTAACAAGGAAAGCAGAAAAGAGAAGAAAAGTTTAACTCCCCAGGCTGGCCAGGGGTGGCGAGGCATCTTGAATTCGGCAGGGAGCAGATAAGTGGCTCCTCCCTGCAATGCTTCAGACTCTTGTGTGGACAGTGGCACAAGCTTGAAAGGGGGTGCACAAAGGGGTGCTGTTTTCACCTCAGTCATGGTGACACTGCCCTACCCAGACCTCTGAATTTGCAGTGCGATTTAGCCTGGAAATTTATCCGAGAGCTGGATGCACCCTGACCCCCTCCTTGAGACCTTGTGCTTGCCTTAGGGCTTGGGGTCTGGTGGGTGAGCCGGTTGCGCAGCCTGCTGTGCCCTGTGCTAACCAAGCTGCAGGCGACAGTCCCATGCCGAGCCTGGTGTGGTGCTGTATACCTGGACTTTCAGCCCTCAGGGAGGCTGAGACAGGAGAGTCACAAGTTATGGTGCATCCCTGGTCAGTTTAGAGAGAATATGACTCAAAAAATTTGAAAAGTCTGAGGTCATGGAAAAGCCCAGGGTACAATCCCCAGGGCCAGGAGCGGCTGGGGAAGGGAGGTGAGCGCCTTGGCCCTGATCGCACATCTTCCCGGGGGTGGGGCACAGAGCCCTGGGGGTGTCACCTCAGCCTGCCCAGGGACTGCATCTCCGAAGGCCTCTTTGCAGGGTGGCCTCATAGACAGTTTACAGGGAGGGGTCTGCGTTCTGAGCGTGTGGACACTGCTTCCTGGGACGTAACACGAGGTGTGTCACCCGAGCTGGACGTTGGGCTCCCTAAGTGGGAGGGGTCCAGCCTTTATTTACCTGACCCAGGATCCCGCTAGTAGCAGCCACATCATCTTTCTCATGTTCAGGCAAGAAACAAAGCCAGGTTAAAAGAGAGCAGCTTGTGAGAGTGGTTATTTTACTTCTCTCTCTGTTTTTGTTTTTCTCAGCAGTGGGGACTGAACACACTGACCTGCATCCCCAGCCCATTTTCACAGCTGAGACCGACTTTCACTAAGTTACTGTGGCCCAGGCTCAGCCGGAGCTTGGGATCCTTGTGCCTCAGCTCTAGAGTGCTGGGAGCCCTGCTGAGCGTGGCTGTTTCTCGTGGGTGGCAGAGCCAGCCTAGGGGTCAGCCTTCCAGTGGGATGGCTCAGCGCAGAACAGAGAGCAGCAGAGGTAGACCGGAGTGGTCATGGTCAGGGCGTGGTGTGGGGAGGAGGAGCCCGGGTCATGCCCAGCTAGAGTGGCTCAGGAGGTGGAGGGAGACTGTGGGCAGGGGGATGGGCTAGGCAAGTGCTAGGAGCACAGCAGTGGGGCCCCAAAGCCGCTTAGGCAGCTCCTGTGCAGTGGGGGGAAGGGGTGGAGGTTCAGGTCAGGGAAGTGCTTCTCCCTGTGCTGTTGTACCTGGGATCCTCAAAAGGCAAACATGGTGTTGCACAGCCCTGCTCCTAAGGATCTGCACACAAGCACTGAGAACAAGCTGGTGTCCTGGCACACAGCTGTATTCACTGCGCTCAGGAGGCTGAAGCAAGAGGATCTCTGATTTAAGGGCAAGCCTAGGTATATAACATAATAAGTTCAATGCCAGCCTGGACTACATAATTATACTCTCT